ACTCTCATGATATAATACAAAATGAAATATAATTATTTACTAACTGTTTATAATAAAATTAAGGTGCTGAATAATAAAAAAAGATCTAAATGCAAAATCATTAAGAAAATTTTAGAACAAGAGACTTTCTTTTACCCACGATTGGCTGCTGTTAATGGAGCTATTGACACGTAAACAAACAAATTTCTTTCCACGCTTGCGCTTTTTTACGACTAGGTTTCACCCACAGCCGCTCTTTCCCCGTCGTTCCTCCTCCCTCGCCGGTCCTGGCTCTTCTCCCGTCACCGCTCGGTCATTCCTCCATCGTCTCGCTCGGCCATCCTCCCTTCTCCCTCGTCGTTCTAGTCTCTCCTCACGCCAACCGCTAGAAAAGGTATTTTTTGAAAACGTTATGCTTAATGATGTCTTCAACAAATTGATTTTGTTTAAACTGATGATTATGGCGATTTCGTTTTGAAAACATTTCTGCCCTAATTTATTTATAAAATTTGAATTAAGAGAGCAACATTCGATTTATATTTCGTAGACTTCTTTGCAGAGTCTGTCTCTTGTGGGGGTGTCCTGAAGATCATGGCTATTCTGGGTTGAAAGGTGCGTTTTCTCCACCTCTTGTGCTCCCAACAATGAAACAGAACTTCTTTTTTGAATTCAAATGTTGGGTTTTGTAGAATTCTTTGATATCCTTTTTGCGATTTGATCTGGGTAACAGTTTTACGGTTTACTCGTTTAATTAATTGATCAATTGTTGTTATTAGCATCAATTAGTTGGATTCTGTGAACACTTCTTGCGACTCATAGATTTTTAATTAATTGATCGATTGTTACAATTGGTGCTTCTGTTGCCTTTTTAGCTCATCACTCACTACTCACACACTGCTGTTGATTACTTTTGCTTTTTGTTGCTTAGTGCACACTCATCCAACATATCCTATCCCATTTCTCCTTGTATATGTATTACCTACCGGTTGAAAGAAGGAATTGCATACATAGTACAATATAGGGAGGTCTGGCCAATAGGAAAGTAGAAAGATAGTTGCATTTTGTGCAAAAAGATCACACAAATACTCTTAAAAGTCCAATCTTGTTAAGCCCTTTTGAGATATCTTGAGTTAATGACAAGATTGCTCTCTCATGGTGTTGACTTTTGGGAGCAGCCTGATGGGTTTGGGTATAAGCCTTGTTTGGATTTCAGTCAAGAATATAAGAAATCAAATATTGAGATTTTAGAAGACAGAACAAAGTATTTGGTGGTGGTGGTTTCTGGTGGGATAAATCAACATAGAAACCAGATTGTTGATGCTGTTATGATTGCTAGCATCCTTGGTGCTGCCCTTGTTGTACCAATCTTACAAGATATTGTTATTTGGGGAGATGAAAGGTATCCATTCATCTTTTATTTGCTTGTTTTATAAATACCTCTTATTTGATGTTAGAAAAACCGACTTTTTCTTCTTTTAGCAAAAAGATCACACAAATCCTCTTAAAAGTCCAATCTGTTTAAGCCCTTTTGAGATATCTTGAGTTAATGACAAGATCACTCTCCCATTGGGTTTGTTATTTTTGAGCACAAAGTTGATTAGTCGCAACCCCAACCGTTATCAGATGGAACCTGCCCCCTAAGAAGCACATGTAAGGAGACATTTCCCTAGCATTCAAACTTGAACCTGTTGTGTACCGGAGGGTGGGTTTGTGATTTCATCTTTTATTTGCCTTTTTCGTAAATGTGTTCCTTTTCAAATTCCAGTTCTGATAAAATTCTGCAAAATATGAGCCTTTGGTGCACCAAAGTTTGCCTTCTGAAATACCCTTTTGATTTTTAGAGTTAAGAAACAAACATATTTTTGTCTATTGTGAAATGTTTTCTTTTTTAAAATTGTAATATCTATTGTGGAACAAGTTCTTTCAGGGAATGTGCCTTTTTTTCAATCTTTACATTTGGTGTCCTATTCTTTTGTTTGTGCAGATTCTTGTCTCTTGGACCAGTTTGTATAGGACAATTTGCACTAGTGGGGTTATACTTGTAGAAGGTAAAAGTTTCCCATTTGAACTGCTCATGCTTACATAATTGTTGTCATCTTTCACTTATATGTACAACTTGTTTTAGATAGGGCATATCGGCCTCATTTTACCACTATTCTTCTTTACCTTGGAAGGTCCAATTCCTCATTCCGTGTGATCATTTTTTGTTTGATTTTGATTAGCACCTATATGATGGAATCTATTTCAGTGATCTCAAATGGTTTATAGTGTTTCTTGACCATCTGTAATAACTTTGTTGTTTTCTTGGACAACTATGACATCAAAGAGTTTTGCAAAAGAATGCATCATCCAGAATTTTGAAGGACTGAAATATAGAAAGCTTGGCCAATCACTATCCAATATATCACAATTAGATGCAGAAAATGGAACCATAAGGATAAGTTCTATGGTAGCCTAAATGCAGAATGCCTAAAAATGAGTTGGGAAACTAACTTGACATTTTCAAGTAATGGAATCATAGTGATAAGTTTTATGGCAACCTAAGTGCAAAATGCCCAAAAATGGGTTAGGAAAGTTACTTGAAATCTTCTGTTGGTCACCTTGAAGTTGAAACCCTGGACAAATGGGATATCCCACCACATCCCCCAACATGCATTACGGTTTATGAATGTCCTCCACGAACCTATTTGGAGGTGATTCTGTTTCATATATTGGTACGTTGTTTATGATTGATTTTTAAATTGTGTATTAGCGTTGAAATTCCTTTGTGTGTATTGGGTTTCCTTGATGATAGCAGTAAAAACAATCTTGTTTTAGAAAAAAAATTGTTGTGTGTTTTATTGGTTACCAACTTAGTGGTTATATTTGATATAAACTCTCCGACCTCTAAATATCAAATATAACTAATAAGTTTGTAACCATTAAAACACTAAGAATTTGAAAAATATAAACCTGTTTCTATAGCTATCATCAAGGAAACTCGATACTCATAAACGAATTTCAACCATAATACCCAATTTCAAAATCAATCATGCACCACATACTCGACATATGAAACAAAATGACTTCTAAATCGGTTCTTGGAGGATATTCATAAACTGTAATGCATGCTTCAAACTCAAATCATTAAATAAAACAAGAACTCACCAAGCACTTTTAGCTCGAGAGTCAGTGGGTGGAGACTGGAGAGGCAATCAACGGTTGTAGGACGGACAGAGGCTGCCAGGCCTTAGGCATGGCCCGTGAAGGAGGAGCTGAGATAGCGAGGAGCGGAGGAGAGAAAGCTGGAAGGAATTATAGAATTAGAATTAAGGTTTTGTTTTTTCTCATTCTTATTTTGGTTTTTTAAAAGTTCTTCAAAAAATTCAGCGTATTGAGATTTACCATAGTAGTAGATGTTTTCTTTTATAGTAGTACTGTCACTATTTTATAGCTTATTCACAATGACTCAAAATACCTTAGGTTGTTAATTTTGCATTGTATTCTTTTTAAGAATACAATTTATCTTTTATATATGTATGTAGAGGACTAATCAAATGAGAATTGTGAGAACATGTTTTCGTGTGTTGTTTCACATTATGAAACAATGCATGTGTGAAATACAGTGTGTTTTCATAATGTGATTATTTATAATGTTCATATTTTGTATTTTTTGTTTCACATCATGAAACAATACTGTACATTCACATGCATTGTTTCACATTAGTTGTGTCCCTATGCAATGTAGCGAGATGTAATATTTTCTAGTGATGCACGCTAACATCATGTGATTAAAGGTTCAAACTAGAATACCCTTTGCGATGGAAATTGTACATCTAGTTTGATGTTAAGAAGCCAAAGTTGAAATTTTCTCATTGAAAACTTCTATCAAACAACTTGTGCTCCTGAAAAAACAAAAAACTTAACATTAGAAATCAAAAGTGGAATCTAACAAGTAGAAGCAGAAGAATGTGTTAAAGTAGACCACTGATGAGGCTGCATACCCTGAACCCCTCGATGCCACTGATAATTAATCCACTGATGAAGCCTATTGTTATACAATTGATCAACAGAAAAACACAATTCAATAATTTCTAATAGATTTCCAGCTTTCGAGAGGCTGGATCTCTTCACTAGGCTCATGCTTTGACATCAGTTACAAAATCCTTAACTCACTCAACTTCTTACTACCATATTAATAGAATATTACCTCACCCACTAGGCTATTTTTATCCTTCTTACACCTGTCCATATTTTTATTCTCATCACACTTCTAATCATCTTTTATCTATGCATGCATAAGTAAACCTGGTTTACCACCTCCATATCCACTGAACCACAGCCGTCTGGTCCATCAACCATCGTATAAAATCAATGACAACCATTTACCATAAGCTGTAATACCATTAGCATCAGTGATTCGTAACTTCAGATTCGATCCACAACCATTTTATCCTTCTTACCGCTGTTTTTGATTGTTTGGAAAAAAACAGGGTTTTCTGCATAAAGCTCTCCCCTAAAAGCTTACTGAATAAGCCACTTCTATATCGTTAAGCCACTACCAAACAGTCATGTATAACTGACCTAATAAGCTGTGAGTGCCGTTAATCTGTTAAAAAACACCTGAATCCAAATTCTTAACTAACAGTAGAATTAACCCCTGTATGAGTGTTCATATATTCTCTGTCTTCTATTGTGTCATGTGTGATTGTATCCAAGTGTCGAGCATGTACTTTGTGTATATTGTTGGCTGTCTAGTACTTAGTCTGTGTGTGTCAGTGTGTGTATATGTATATATTTTGTTGTGTTGAATTATATTGTGAAATTGATTACGTGTATTACCAAGTCAGATTATAGTGTTATTATTTTGTTAAAAACTCAAGATTGGTAATTTCAACTTTTACATTCAAGAGGACTGAAAACCAATTTTATAGGTAGAATAGGTAAGAATAAGAAAATTTGAAAATTTATTACATAGATTTAGAAAACAAGTTGCACTTAAAGCATCTCCAATAGGTATGCTAAATTTTCTCTATCTTTTTCCAAATTTGGAGATTCCTCCATTCTATCTCCTTTCTTTTCTTTATTTTAGAGGAGAGTTTAGCGTAGTTGTTGGAGCAAACTTTCCCAAATCTCCAAAATTTCTAAAATAACATAGTTGTTAGAGATGCTCTTAGTAGCTAAACCAAATTTCTTGTATTGTCATACATTTTGCATTTTTTAGAATAATACTTTATGCCTAATATTTGATAATGACCAATTTCATTGATTTCCATTTCCAATGTAGACTCATAAGATTTACATATGATCAATGATTAACTCCTGCCTAAACGAATGTTGAAAAGCGTGAATGGGATGTTAGGCTGAACAACTTCTATTGCTGCTACAATTCTTTTAAATTGTATGGATCTTGATTTGCAGTCCTGTGCCCGTCTATTACAAACCATTACTTCCAATGTCGTCATCAAACAAGGGAAGCAATTACATCTATTGTTTCTCAAAAGGGGCGTTTTGCCTTCTTCCATCACTTTGGCAAATCGCCTGCTACAGATGTACGCCAGATGTGGCGACCTATTTGATGCTCGGAAACTGTTTGATGAAATGCCTCGAAGGAATTGCTTTACCTGGAACTCCATGATCGAAGGCTATGTCAAATCAGGGAATAAAGAAGAGGCTTTGCATTTGTTTTACTCAATGCCCAACAAGAATAGTTTCACTTGGAACATGATTATTTCGGGGTTTGTTAAGGCAAGTAAGTTGAATGTGGCAAGAAAGCTCTTCGATGAGATGCCAATGAAAAATGGGGTCGCATGGAATTCAATGATTCATGGATATGCTGAAAATGGGCATTCTGTGGAAGCACTTAGGCTATTTAAAGATTTGAAGTCAGGTTGTTACGGACCATGCCATGTGGACATATATGTTTTAGCTACGGTGTTTGGTGCTTGTACTGATTTGTTGGCTCTTCAATTAGGAAAGACAATTCATGCTTGCATAGTTGTTGGTGGGGTTAAGTTTGATCCAGTCTTGGGAAGTTCAATTGTCAACATGTATGGGAAATGTGGTGATCTCGATAGTGCAAGTCTAGTGTTGCGTAGTCTGCCATACCCTGATGATTTCTCTCTCTCGTCATTGATCTCTGCATACTCTAATAACGGTAGAGTTGCTGATGCGAAAAGAATTTTTTGCATCAAGAATGACCCTTGTGTTGCTTTATGGAATTCTTTGATTTCCGGTTATATTGTCAATGATATGGCAATGGAAGCACTCATACTCTTTGGTGAAATGAGGAGAAATGGAACTAAAGAAGATGCCTCTACTATTGCTATCATTTTGAGTGCGTGTGATTGTTTGGGTTTTCTTGAATATGGAACACAAGTGCATGCCCATACTTGTAAATTTGGAGTGACTCGTGATCTTGTAGTTGCATCTGTACTTGTGGACACTTATGCCAAGTGTGGGAGGCCTGATAGTGCGTGTGAGTTATTCCCTGAGCTAAATACATATGACACAATTTTACTGAATTCAATGATTAATGTTTATTGTACTTGCGGAAGAATTGAAGATGCTATACAAGTCTTTCAGAGTATACCGTCTAAAAGCTTGATCTCGTGGAACTCAATGATATCGGGGTTAAGTAAAAATGGTTACCCAACTGAAGCACTTGCGTGTTTTGGCGAACTGAATACAAAGGGCTTCCACATGGATAGATTTAGTCTTGCCAGTGTGATTAGCACGTGTGCAACCATTTCTTCACTTGAACTTGGCAAACAATTGTATGCCAGAGCTATTGTTATTGGTCTTGAATCTGATAAAGTTGTTTCTACTGCCCTTGTGGACTTCTATTGCAAATGTGGGTTAATTGATGATGGTCGAAAACTCTTTGACGAAATGATACAATCTGATGAAGCTTCTTGGAATTCCATGTTGATGGGTTACGCTACAAATGGTTATGGCATTGAAGCATTGCATTTATTCAATGATATGATAAAAGTAGGTGTCATGCCAACAGATATTACATTTACTGCAGTTCTATCTGCATGCAATCATTGTGGTTTAGTTGAAGAGGGCCTAAAATGGTTTAATGCAATGAAACATAAGTATTCTATCGATCCAGGAATTGAACATTATTCATGTATGATAGATCTTTTTGCACGGGTTGGTCAACTTGAGGAAGCCATAGATTTTCTTATTTACATGCCATTTGAGGCTGATGCAAGCATGTGGTCGACAATTTTACGAGGGTGTTTAGCTAACGGAGACACAATTCTAGGGAAGAAGGTTGCAGAGAAAATCACAATGATTGATCCAAAGAACCCAGATGCATATGTGCAACTATCAAGCATTTTTGCCACTTCTGGGGACTGGGGCAGATCAGCACAAGTTAGAAAGTTAATGATAGCCAAGAGAATGCAGAAAGTTCCTGGTACAAGTTGGATTGATCGTTGAGAATCTCAGGTGTATATACTTATTAAAAGTATACATATTCATATTTTTTAGAATATTATTTGGAAAGACTGTTGCACATAGTTTTCTTTGATGAGCTAGGAAGATGATTAATTGGTTATTAACTACAGAACACGAGCACCGGTTAGGGAACAGTTTCTCCAAAATTCGACTGGTGGCATATTCAAGTGGTCTTTATTGTTTCTATACAAGGAAATCTAAATCATTCAGATTTTTAGGATCATGGAATCTGAGTAAAAAGTGATTGTCGTCATCAAAATTTAAGTACTCTAACCTGAAATGTGGCCAAGTGGAGAAGTGTTGGATGAATTATGTCTACATCATCTCAAGTGCTTCATATAAACATGATATATGATGTCAAAAGTACCAGCTTTCTTGAATCAATCTGCATCAGCAATGGTATGTTCTTGGCAGCTATTTTAATTTTAGTTTTACACATGTTGGTCTTTTAAAGTTTAGGAAGGTGCTGTTTGCTTGGTTTTCCATTAAGTCTTGTATGGATAAAGGCGACTGTGTTGATTAATCTGTCTGTATGCATTGGGAGGGTTTTTGTCGGGGAGTTTATTCTTTCATAGATGGAAGGAGCGTGCTTTTTAATTGGGAGGGGCAGGTTTAGAAAAAAAAACCTTGGCTTTCTGAATAAAGTTGCTCCTTAGAAGCCTACCGAATAATCCACTTTATCATCAAGCCACTACCAAATAGTCATGTATACCTAACCGAATAAGCTGAGTCCCATTAAACTCATTAAGCTGTTAACAAACAGGCCTCTTTCTCATATGGGTAGAACAACAAACTTAAATCGTTGCAATAAACAATTGTACTTTTTATTGTAGAAGCTCTAAGATCCAATTTCTCCGGTCTTTTGCAGGTTTGTCATTGTGCTTTCTGCCACTCCCTAATATTGGAACATCCGTTTTGCTGCAAAATTTTCTATCTCAAAAAGTCCCATTGGTTAATTCATGATGTAGTGTTTCCTGTCCATTTGCGACACAAAATAAAGACACATAGATGCCTAAATGCATATTCATGTAATGAGTAATATATATCATAAAAGAAATCAATATATAGGGGCACCTTTTAAGGCTGGATCCATGAAGTTACAATGATCTAGATCCTTATTAATCGATCTGTCCTAGAAATGGCGGCAGCGACACGATTTATTATGGTATTATGGTACAAAATGATGAGAAAACAACATCATGATTATAAGTACTTGGAATAATAGAGATGTAATCCACAATGCCAATGCACTACTTCATAGCTTGTGTGGAATTACTTTGACTTAAGCATGGGAACACACCTCCAATGTGTCTTTTGGTTCCTTTGTCTTTGGATCAATAAGCTTAGGGGCCGTTAACCAAATGCTTACCGGGTAAGCTCTAATCAAGTGTTACTTACCTCTCGGGTGAGCATGACAAGGACCTAGAATCTTACTAAGTAAGAGGCATAGCAAGGACCTAACAATCCATTTTGATAGGTAAGTATGTTACCTGATATGAGGGTAGTGCCCTTGCTGGTAAGCACTTACCTGGTAAACGGCTTACCGTTCTTTACTGGGGTGATTTACCCATACAAAAATAGAATTGAACAATGACGCATATTAGTTCCCCCACCCCACCAGCTCCAACTAAAATTAAGAATGATGCATTAACATTCCTAACAAGGTGATATTGTCATGCAATCTGTTTCTAGTTTCAGTTTTTTGGGGTAGAAAGTATATATTAATTTCACAATGATGCCTGTTCTTAGCTTGCATTGAGATAAGGCTTGTTTTTGTTAGTTATATAACAAGATGATATGGTCATGCTAAAGGGCTTGGTGCAAAACCTGTGATAAATGTGTCAAAAAATTGTAACTTAAAGCTAATAACGGATAAAAAGCAATGACACTAGGCACATAATCTGTTTAGATTATCCATGACCTCGCCTTAAGTCGGACTTGGATTTCAATATTGTTGGGAAACCTCACTCTTTGTTGTGTTATTATAAATTTAAACTGTTTCCAATTTGTTATTTCTTTTAAGTGAAGGCAATAAGCACAAAAGCGACAGAGGATGCACTTAGGATCAAGAGGGTATCATGGGAAGAAGGATAATGGTATAACGCCCGAGATATTCAGTATCTCGAGCGACTATCTGTTGGAGAGGCGGGTTAAAGTAGGCTCCATGAAATACGTCATACCGGATCACATTCAGAGCAGAAGAGATTGAATTATCATCCAATGGGCTGTTGGCTGCATTTAAGAAGAGAAAGCAGTGAAGTAAAGACAAAGATGAAGAGAAAGAAGACCTGAAGATGAACAAAGAGAGTGGGAGACAAAAGCTGGGGTCTATCAAGAAGAAAGAGATTCTGCTGAATAACATGCAAAGTCCAATTTGAATAAGGTTTGTATGGATCTGATTTTGGGGGATGCTGTTGGTGTATTTTAGGTTTGTTTGTAACCTAGATAAAGTTTCTAGTGATAGATGTTTGTGGATCTAAGGTCTCTACCAACGGAAGCTCAAGATTGGGGTAAAATCTAGATTTAGCCAAAATCTAGCAAGGTGTATTTAAAGATGTTTTCTTGATATTTATCAATTGTGTTGATTATTTGATAAAACTTGCATCTCGAGTATATTTGGTTTTATAAATCATGTAAAATGCCTATGTTCGGGTTTTTGGATATTTTGATAAATAAATCATAAGTATGAATTTTTTTTATGGTTTATCTTATAAATGGAGATTACTTGGTGATAATGCATTTGTAGTGTATTTGGTATGGACAATGCATATTGTTATGTTATGAGATATTTTGGAAATACAAATGGTACGATTTCAATTGGAAATTTTTTTGTCCCAACCAACTATGAGTTTTTTGAGTTAATCATGCCTTTAGAGCATGTTTTTGCATAAATGTTGGTTAAATACGTTTTTATTGATGACTTTTATTTAATAGTCAATTGAGTTGTTGAGTTTTTGGCTCAGTTTGACTCAGATGAGTTTTGGGGACGTTTGTCCGGTTTATTTGCTCTATGTCGAGCTTCGGGGTTATATGCGGTTACATCATATTCATTTAAAATATTATATGCTTTGAGTGCGTGGTAATTCATTTAAGGTCATGTAAATTTAGACTGTAATGTAATGGATCCATATGCATAAGATTCAGTCTTTATTGATTTTAATACGAGACAGTCGTTCCCGCGTTCTGGCTAGTAATTGACATTCTGTTATTAGAGGCTTTGAACTATAAATCATAGGTTGGTCGAACTCTAGCCATTGTCCGTATGATGTAATTTATGTGTCAGTTCTATAGGATGATTATCCCCATGTTGTAGCTAGAAATAGGCATTTGGTCATTGAGGGCAACTTGGTATGGTCTTATGGGAGCCGGATATTAGTCATTGATCACATGATGTAATTTTTAATGAATGAGTGTACCTGGGATCATCAGAAGGGCCTTGACCTATGAATCACAAATAATTGATCCTTAGGATGAGCTTTGTAACGTGGAATGGTAGCCTACTTTTGTGTTCCGCCACTAACAATGGAAATTCGGTCTCCCTCCTCCCTGAAAGGTGTTGTTTTGGGTATTAAGTTTTATCCATGTTTTCATAGACGTGTTGGTTATGGAGTATCTTTCATTATTTATGGTTTGGGTATTGAACCTTCTTTATGCTTTGGGCATTTAATATCATTTACTCTTGGGTGGGTATTGAACTTTGGTCTCATGTTAAAGAGGCGTTTTGATAAACGAGTTTTCATTAAGAAAATGGTGGGTTTTTGAAAGGATGTTGCTAATTTACTAGATACATTTCATTCACGAAATTATGATTTAAATAACATCTTTCAGTTCTACTGCTTCTATAATTATGATGTGAAATGCTTGAACTCACTAGGCGTTAAGTCTAACCTTTTTTATTTGTCGGCATATGCATCATGTCCTTGTTGGGGTTTGGTACTAGTGAAACTGTGATGAATCGAGTGTTAGATGAACGAGAATGATCTAGCTTTTCAGTAACGTCTTCCGTATTTGGAGATAGCGATTGTTATTGAGTTTTAGTAACACCCTACCATGATCTAGTCGTTATGTAAGGCTTGGATCATCAATTGTTATTCGAATTAATTCAAGTGTTGACTTATAGAAAAATATATATCCTTTATTTGATGTATTATTAGATATTTTAAATTAATCATTACCTACATCGATGGTTCTTATTCCATGTTTCACGCAACATATAAATCCCTCGAGTTAACACCGCCAACTCCGGTACTGTTAAGTACATCATGTGTCCCTTACTTGAAAGGCAAATCAGTCTTTTTGCCTGTTTGTCTCTGTTAAATAAAAAGAAAATTGTATCAAAATGTAACCAACTTTGACCTTATTTCTTATTTTGAGAAACCAACTTTTAAAATATTTATTTTAAAGTCTGTAGTAAATCACAAAATTTGTTCTTACAGTTTATGAAAACTCTGATTTTTGTCCTTGAAGTTGTTAAAATTACAAAAAATGTCATCAAGGTTTTGATTTCGTTACGAGAATGGTCCATAACCGTTAGCTGCTACTGGTGTTAAATGATGGACATTTTGGTATTTTTACGTTTTCATTAGAAAAAAAAAAATAGTATACAACTTCTTAATAGACATGTACAAGTTATATTTTTAAAAAATGTATTTTTCTTTTGTCAAACAACACTTATCTATATGGGGCCATTTACTAAATGCTACCCTGATAAGTGCTTATTAAGTCAGTTACTTTGTCGGGTGAACATAACAAAGACCGAGAATCTTACCCAGTAATTGAGGATGATAACTCTTACTGAATAAGAGACGTTTACAAACAATATTACTATAACATTTTGATGGCCAAGAATCTTACCTAGTAAGGTAAGCTATGATAGTGACTATTACCCGGTTAGTGTTTGGTAAACAACCCCTAAAACATGATTTTTTTTCCACCAACAATTAACGAAATAGACAATCATAATATTTCATTTAACATTTAATTATATAAATGGTTATAATGGTAATTTTTCCCGGTGAGTACTTACTGCAAACACTTGGTAAACAACCATTTTAAGTAAACATTACTTAAACCGGACGTTTTACACATATCATATATTTACCCGGTTAACACTTATCCAGTTCATATCGACAAACACCCTCTAAAAAACATCACGTTATATTCAACCACATAATTCCTTTTTTTGCCCCGGAGTGTTTCTTCAAGTGTTGAAAATTGAAAAAATATATATATGAATGAGCCTGAGGAATCGTTTAACAAATGCTTACTCGAGTGGATGTTTATCGATAAAATTCAACACTATCATTTACTTATCGAATAAGATTTTAGTTCACCAAAACAATATAATATGCAACATTTTACCCGGTAAGTGCTAAATGTGGTAAAATAGTCGTCCTCACTTACCGAGTAAGACTCTCGGTTTTTGTCTTCGCTCTTATCTGATAAATTTTTTGGTCTTTGCATATTCATTCCGTAAAATAACGTGACTTGGTAAGCGCTTTCTCAGATAAACATTTAGTAAACGCCCCCAAAACTAAGGCAAAATACGAGAAATTAAATTATTTAGACTACTTGGGACAATGTGGTGGTAACAAAATTAGCCACATATTTTTATGTCTCGGAGCCGAAAATGGTCTCTTAAATTAACACCATTAATCTGGGCCGGTTAAATTAGTCATGTGCCTTTCACGTAAAGCACATTTTAATCTTTAAATAAAAGATAAAAAAATATTCAAATTCATAAACAAATACATTTTTTTTGGGAAAAAATACAAATAAATTTGGTCTTTGACTACACAAATCCATGTCACGGTTTTGACTTTTCAATTCTCTCGATTACGTTTTTCAATTCACATTGAAGATCGATTCTTGTTGGATTCAAAACAACTTCATTCCACACCGAGTCGAGATCTAATAACGTTTTTGGGTCGGCATAAAGCTCGCATATGGAATCCGCTTGGTCGTTGATTTCCTTTAATATTTCCAAACACTTGATTTGATCTGGGTCGACTAATAGATTGCTATTGCGGTCTTTCAACCCGATCAACTGTAGTTAAAAAGCCAAAAACAAGTAAACATTCAGTAATTATGCTGCAATATTTCAAGTTGTAGAGAATTAATGTACAATTTTTTGGTTAATTTTAATTTAAGTATCTAACATAAATAATCAAGTTGTTCATGCCCAAAATTTAAAATTGATGGTTCATGTTAACTAGTTTAATCATATTATTTAGGTTAAATATATTTAGATCACTTTAGGCTTACCCTTCTTTAACTATTAGAGAACAAAGTAATAACAATATATATATATATATATATATATATATATATATATGTATATATATATATATATATTTACGGTTATTATCAAGGTTCTAAATGACATGAGACGTGATGTGACGACAAAGTCAGGTCTCAAGCCTTACACGTCACACAAGGATACGACGTTTTTCAAGTAATGACATAAGATGCCAAATTTATATGTTATATATACACACACATATGTATTCTATTTATTATTCAGTGAGATAATAATATTAAAAAATCTATATTCATATTAGAAGAATAAAAATTATACATATATATATATATATATAATATATATAGGGTTGGGTTCCGTGAGAAGGGAAATTACAGTGAGAAGTATAAGAAGAGATTACCACCCTTGAATCAATCCTAATTGAATGTCAACACTAATGAGTTACACCAAATCAATTCCTTTCTAAAAGCATAATTCATGGGTGGGCATGAGATTAAAAATGATATGAGGTTCAGATCCATTCTTACGTTTCTCACTATAACTTCCCTTCTCACACGATCCTTCGCCTATATATAAAGATAAAATATCGTGTGAGAAGGAGAATTAAGGTGAGAAGCGTAAAAATTTATCTAAACCCTTGATCACATTTAATCTCAAACCCACCCATGAATCGCACTTGATACAAGAATTGCTCTAGTGTATCCTAATGTGCATCCAAGGGCGGAGATCCCTTCTTACGCTTCTCACTTTAACTCTCTTTCTCATTGGAACCCAACCCTATATATATACATATATATTTATATATTAGCAGTATATAAAGAGTTTAACCATTTATGATCAAATATTATACAACTTGAAACGGTTTTATAACTTTGTTTTAACCACAAATTAATGATATGGTCAGGTAAAGAGGTAAAAACGTAAAATCTAAATATACAAGTGTAAAAAAATGAACAAGTCACGCCTTATAAAAAATATACGTCATGGGGCGCCTCAATGCAGCATGGCACGAGTCACATCTTACACAAACGTTACAAGCCTTCATCGTAACGACAAAGATACTTCTTACCCCATCGCGTACCTTTTAAAAGCCCGGTTATTATAACGTAATTTTTTATGGTACGTAATTATAGTTATATCCTATGATAAAAGCGTCCCACGTATTTATCGTCAACTCATTTTTACGACGAAAAAGAATTATATAAAAATTTAAATAAATAAATAAATAAAAAATGAACTTACTTTTGGAGGAACTCCAATGGCGTTGGTGCAATAGAGCTTTGCATCGTCCACAAGATCACAATATTTACCAAATGCATTCGCAAAACTCTTGTGTGATTTCAACTGTGAATTTACCCTCACTGCCCTTTTCACTGCTATGGCTCTCCTGTATATTTACAAATACACCCCCTCATCACTATTTTTATTCAAATATATTTACACTTTGCACCCCTCAAGTTACAAAGTGCAAACTTCCACCCCCTTAAATCGCAAAAGTTTTGAGATCATACCTAATGCCTCTTGTAACCGCAAGATATGGATCACAAACAACACCAACCAACTCAATTTTGTAAGGTTTCTTCATCTTAAATTCATCTTCGTCGTTTTCGACTTTTTCCCAGTAAGTCTCGTTGATGGTTCCATCGTCCGAGACTTTATAACCTTTACCCATGCGGTAACGATGTTTATGAACACTTCTCACCATGTCGATTGTTTGATACACAAATGGTTCCCATGATAGTGTACCATCCATGATCACATCTCTTCCTTCGTTTAACGCTGTTACTAATAGAGACGACGCTGCATCCGTGGAATCTTGATGCACCTATATAAAATGTTTCAAACATAGAGGCATTGGGTTCAAAATATACACGTCTGAATTGTGTAATGGGCCTATCTTGTTTGGCCCGACTTCATCTGTTTATACTCTCTGTCCCAAAATAAATTCTTTTGCTCATATTTCTATTCAACTTTGTCTAGAAATAAGTGTCCACTTTAAAAAGTAGATGCTGTACTCTAAAATATGACAAATGAATATATGAGTTGATGAGGTGGAGTGTGTGCAATGTGTGTGTGTGTGTGAGAGAGAGATAGAACTACCTTAACAATAAGGGTAAATTTGTCATTCATAATTAAAATGTGTAATAATTACATATTTTTTAAACTGTGTTTCTATTGTGGAATTTTATCTTATAACGGATAATAAAAAAAGATGAGCGAAGAGAGTGAGAGTACCAATTCAGCAGTTTGAAGCATGTCATGGTGATGACCCATAGAGCTAAGCGCTTGATAAATCACATTGGTTTCCTTAAAAGCATCGGCCTCTACCACCACCGCGTTTGGTGCTGCCTCCGACCAAAATGGTCTGTCACATATCCCATTTCCATCGCATCAGTCACAAAATACGTACAAAAATCAAAACATATATTCAGGCAACCTATGAAAATGAGAACAATGAATATCACGTACTCTTTAAGGATTTCTTTGAGAACAGTGCTCTTCCCGGCGCCCATTCCACCACCCATGAAGAGGAGCACGGGGCTTCTGTCACAATGAGCCACCGGCTCCATCACCTCCGTGCAGGCACCGTCACCATCTCCGCGTTTCGGGGTGGTAGATCGGATCACTTTCATTTCCTCCACCATTGTTGAGAATGCCCTTGTCATCTTCAAGTCCTTTGTCACTTTATCAAATCTTTGCTTTCTACATAAACATCACAATTTGATTGATATATACCAAACCAACCGACAAAGTAAATCCCACTTGGAAGAGAATCTTGAAAGGTAGGATGTACACAGACTTTATTAATATGAATCATCTAAAAACCAAAATAATATGTAAATTTCATAATACAATATATATATCAATATAAGCGGCTCTCAAAACGAGAAGATTTAAGTATCTGACCAATAATAAATATTTATTTGACATATACATATAAAAAACCCAATAAAGTTCTATACCATTTTACCAATTTTGCCTTTCTATCGAGATCCAAAATATTCGCACAACGTTTATGCAACATACACTTAAAAACGTTTTCATTTTTAACTACAATTGCATAAACTTCAGACAGATTAAGAACTATAGTAACGAAATAAAAAAATACAATGTCTGACTCGACAGACAACGTGACAAAGAATTTATGACCACATACTTAAAATAGCCACAAGATTAAATTGGGAAAATATGGGTCCTGCAATCAATTTATCGACAAGTTTTTGTATATTTTTGTGTGTATATATATATATATATATATACAATATATATATATATATATATATATTGTATGTGTGAGAGATCATATTTACTGAACATATATACGTAAAAGTTATATAAAGATGGAGAAAAAATTTAAAGTATATGTATATGAAGATGGTGATGATGTAATCATCTAATATACATATTAATAGAGATTAATAACCATATTAAATATAAGAATAAAAGAATATCAGGTTCATTGGGTTGAGTTGGATTCAAACTACCGTAACCCAATTCCAACGCTCATACCTACACTTTAAAGATTTTACAATTCAATTGGATATCGACCTATTTCAGATTAAATTAAGCCGAGTTGACTAGGTTTTCGTGCACGTTAACATATTTTAAAAATAAAATTACCTAAAATAAACAATTTTTTAAATTATAAATCCCTAAATAAATATTTTAAAGCCACAATTAAAAAATACTTTTTACAAAAATAAAAATCAAAGTCGTCCTTTTCTTTCATGCAACTTGCCACCCACCATTTTTTAATGTATCATCATTTGCTCAATTATTTATGTATTTAAATTATTCCCAAAACCAATGCATTATCTTTAAGATATTATTTATAAATATTTAAAATATCATTTTTTTTCTCAAAACTTAAAAATAAAATATTCCTATCCTCATATTTTTATTGAATAAAATCAATTTATATTAAATATATGAACATACTATTTGGAATCAAAAGATATGCTATTTTTTAATAATAATTACGATATTAAATAAAACAAAAGAAAAGTCACCTTGTAGCGGTCAACACCATATTTTTTAGTTTTCTTTCGTCAGATCCAATGCTTAACACCTTCAAAATTTAAAACGGAAAATTGATCAACGTGTTTCCCATTTCAATAACCTTTGATCGTTTTTGTCCAAATACGAACATATTGTTGAAATTTGAGTGACGAAGTTTGGGAATTGGTTGTTAAAACGATGTTAAAAAGTACGGAAATTTGTCGACTTTGATGTTACCTGCTCGATCATAACAGGCGCATGGCTCCAATGGAATGCAAAATAACCAAGAATGCATCTCTCGAGCTCTTCAACAAGCTTTTCACTTAGTAATTTGACTTCTGTTTTATTTGGAAAACACTCTGAAAAATATATGTACATCGCGTCATTAAAAGCTTTCGAGCTTCTCACATAATCCGATGCCAATTTGCTTAGCTCCGGGCACTCCTTTCCGTCTCTAAATCCAATTTGCCTTGCTGCAAAATGCACGAAATCATGTATTTGCGCAATAATTTATATCAGAACTTAAACGTCATACAATTTAATCGTTAAAATCCAAAAAGGATATGATTTTCAAAATGCCATTCAACGAGTTTTTTGATAAAAAGGTTAGTGTGTGTGTGTATATATATATATATATATATGTATATATATAAACAAATAATTATTTACAAATCCAACCAATTGTAATAACTTACAAATCAATTTTCATAAGCTATTTCACATATAAAACAATGTATATGAAAATACAATATTTATACAATGTTGTTTCAGATGTTAAACGTTTAGGACTGTTTTGTGCACAGAAAAACATACCTAAATGTCTTGCATATAAAACAACAATATTTAAAATTTCACATAGTGTCGTTTCACATATGAAACAACAAAACAAAAATTGGCCTGTAAACTTACAAGAATTACTGGGTTTGTAAAATAATAAATTATATAATAATTTTTTTCGAGAATATGTGAAACCGTTAGATTATTTTTAAAACGCCAAAAATGGAAAGTTCCAACGTATGTAAATGAAAATATGTCTTTAAGAGGTAAATTCGTATATAAACAAGAAAATGGTCAAGAATGTAAGCTTACCAACATAATCGGAGAACTTTTCAAGCCTGAAAACATGGCCGGACCCGGTCAAATTTAACCGTGGAACAACAACTTCAGGCTTGGATGAACTTGATTTTCTCCGGCGACGTAGTGTGGCTTCGGCCGCCCAGATTAATCCGACGGTGGTTGCCGCAAGGATGTTCGCCGCCAGAAGGATGGAGTACCCGTCTGCACAAACCCAAGATGTTTTTGGTTAGAGAGAGATATATATATATATAGAGAGAGAGAGAGAGAGAGAGGACCTCTGTGCATAACTCAGTTGCTGAAAGAATAGTCGCCGGAAAACGAAAAAGAGTCGCCGGAGTCCGGAGAATGTGGAGAGAGAGAGAGAGAGAGGAGTTGTCCGAATAGAAATCGGGTGATGTATCTGCTTATAGATATTGGGAAGTCAACAGGTATTTAAATATCTAGTGGGTGTGGGTATATTTAAATATATAATTTTTTTTGATTTAATAAATATTTTATTACAAGGTAATAACTAATATAATTTTTTATAAAAATAATAACTAAGTATTTTATTAGTTATCAATAATTATCCTAATTATATTTTAAATTTTTATATTTAAAATAAGATATTTATCTAATATTTGATTATGTTTATCTATAATTAGTTATACGAATTCAAATATGCAGCTTTAATAATTTGTACTTCTGTACAATTTACTTGTAATCTTGAATTTTTAGTAATATGCATCAATAAACAGTATTTCATGCATAAAAAATACCTTTTAAGAGTTTTTGTCAAATACTTTATAATATAGTATAGATATAAATAAATTGTGAAGTAGTTATTGAGCAAGATGGAATTGTTCCGTTTTCTATTTTCCAGTATTTGAGGATGTATTCAGAATAAGATGGTCTAATCAAGGGATTTCAATTGCACCCTTAGGTTTTCGGGGCATTGGATTCTCACCAATGTTTGCGTTACTCAAGCCGACATTCTCGCTTCCGCTTCGTCCTTGTCTTAATTAACGTTGTGGTTTGCAATGTGGCATAGGTTGTCTTTTGTGTAGCGTACAACCTTATAGTCACTCTCATCTATTTTTTGAATATTTGTATGCCTCTATGTTTTGGGACCATCTCAAGCCCTTGGCCATCATGGTCAATATTCTCCACACTTGGGACGGTATCATAGACTATTTGATTCCCACTGCTAATTGTAAAATGGCTAAATAAATTATCGAAATTTTTAAAATTGGTTACCTACATTCTTTTAACTCAAAAAACTAACTCTAACCAGTTACAAATGTTTTAAAGTAAAAAAAAACCTAAATTACTTTGTCGTTCCCAAGAAAAGGAAAAGTTCAGAAAACTCCAATAAAGTTTAATCAAAGGTATTTTAAGAATATATATATATATATATATATATATATAGTTTGATTTAAATGTTAACTAAAATTATCGTGTTAACTTTGTTAACCAAGTTTAACCAATGAAAATTCATCGTTTATCTAGGTTCATATCCATCTCATAATTTAATGACAAGGGTAAATATGTAATTTTAGTTTGCATGTAACTCCCATATCATTAATTGAGAGTTACAAAATAAAAAAATCTAATAATTATTGTTGATTTACTATTGATCTTGTTTTTCTACAATATTGATTTATCTATCTATAATGTTCTTGAATTTGTGATTGTTAAAGGAGACTAGATAGTAAAGTTTTCGATATCGTTCAAGCTAATATGGATAAACCCAATGGAAAACAACTCGACAACAATGGGAACTCCGTAATTTGTGATAATTGTGAGATATAATGTGAACCACTCATTTAAGATAATTTAAGATATTTCTTAAATAAGGTAAAAAGAGTAATTTTTAGTAATTTTTATTACACCTCATCAAGATATTTAATTATTTTTTTAAAGAAAATATTTAATTAATTTTAATTACCTAATATATGGTAGTTACTAAAGGGGTGTTTGAGATTGCTTATAAAAATAATTTATTGATTTATTTCGGTATGACACCGATAATAATTTCATTTGAGTGTTTGGATAAACAGTTTATAATGATGCCAAACCGGTAATAAGAAATTTTTAAAGAAATTAAATCATTCTAATTTATAATAAGTTGATAAAGACTTTTAAAAAAAATATAACTTGTTTCAAATAAAACACCCCCAAGTATATTACTTCCATCACTTAAACAGACACTCCCTAAAACAACCATGACACCTCCCACACTCATCAAAATATTTTATGTTTTTTGTTATTTTTATTACTTTATAAAGAGTATCATCTTGTATGTTTTTTTTCCGTTGATTTATGAAAGGTGTCACAATATGCAATTTGTATGTTTCTCATTATTTTCGTTATTAATTTTTTTATTTATCACTTGATTTGTGGTTGAGACTGAATCTTATGATTATCATAAATTACCGAGTTCTCCTTTGAATGATCATATATATATATATATATATATATATATATAATATTATCATCTTCATTATTTTAATTTTAGAAAAATACATGAAACAGTTTCATTAAAATTTCATTAAATATTAAATGAAACAATTTCATAACCATATATGAAACAAATT